GGTTTAGGGTTGAGGGTTTTAGGGGGGTTCTCCGTTTAGGGTTTAGGGTTTCAGGGGGTTTCTCCGTTTTGAACTTGCAATATTTCGCCCAGAGCCTACCTTCGGCCAACCCATGGTCGTGCTTAGCCGCTTTAGGCTCGAGCCGGCGAGGGCTCAGCATTGCAATTCTTCTTGACAGCCATGCTCTCGTTGCAGATCGTCCTTGGGATTCATCTTGGGTTTTATGTGATGGTGATGAGTTCGTTCCTGCTTGCACTTCGTTTTCGCGATCCTGGGTACCTCACCTTCCACGGCAAGATGGGCGACGAGACAGTTCCCCAGCTGCTGTTCCCTGATCTGAACTTGAGCAGCAAAACGCAGCGAAGCCTGCTCTACGTGATGATCGTGTGCATGCTGGCAAACTGGATCGGTAGCTTTCAGGCTTTCTTGTCGGTGAACGCAGGCTATCGTGCTGCAATGCGGTCTCAGTGCATGATGGTTCATGGCTTGCAGCCTCTTCTGATGCTGGGGAATGGCCATTTGAAACTGAGGGAGGAGGGAGCTAGGTCATGGACTGCCCTGCATGGCACGTTTGCAATGCTGTTTCTGATGGCGCAGGGGACCTGAGAACAGGCCAAGCATCGCAAAAGCAGCAGAAGAGGCGACATTCGATCAAGAGTGACCACGAAACCCTAAACCCTGAGCCAATGCCTCCAGCATTCCATCTCCCCAAGCCAGTATCGAGGCCACTACAGCGCGTGTGGAAAACCGGGGTGTCCGAACATGAGCCGAGACTTCATTGCCCTGCTGGGAGGGATCCAACCCTAAACCCTGAACCCTAAACCGAGACCCCTTCACAGCAACTTTCATGGACAGCTTAGCAGAGGATCCTCCGAATCCCAAAATGGGAGTTTCCGAAAATTAGGGGTACCTTGTTTGGGGTTCTTATAATAAGGATCCTATTATTTAGGGTACTATATTAGGGTCCCCTATTTTCGGAAAATCCCAAATGCCCAAGAAGCTCAGGGAGGCTTAGAGAGGGAGTCTTTTATCCAGTATTTTACTTTCCAAGCCAGGGAGGAGCCAGGATCCTCGTCCGTGTGTAGAACTTACTTACCTCCAGGGGTAAAGGCTTCAAGCTCAGAATGTAGAAAATGGAGGGTTTGGGATGGTAAATCCGAGTGGAATTACGTAGTCTGCAGAGGCAGAAGTGAACATTGGGCTAAATTAGAGAGGCCTTAGTACTGAACATAGTGCGTTTCCTAGGGTTCCCGAATGTTAGGGTTTAGGGTTTAGGCTAAGTATAGTTGCGTATACGTGATTGTAAGGCCTCATGTCGTACGGGTCTGGCGGTCTGACATGTACTGGACAGAGCATTTATCAAGTTTGGATTTAGATGTTTCCAACTTGCGCCTACCTTCGCAGTATGTTTGACAACTGGTTCATGGGATATTTGAGAATGTCCTGGGCCTGCAATCACATCTCTTGGGCATAACCAGGTCACATTGAGCCAACCCCTCCAGGAATGACAATTACCTGATGTTGTGGGTATGAGGTTTCAGAAAAAAAGATTAGGTTTTACGGTTTGTTTAGGTTTCTTAACGGTTTACGGGTTTAAGTTTAGGTTTCTTAGGGGTTCTGAGGTAGCAAGAAAGGCTTCGCAACCAGAGTCATCACGTCCTTCAGCTCCAACAAGCAGTTCGAACCGGTGAGCCCAAAGCTTAGGGTGAGTGCAGGGCCAAGCTAAGGGTTTAGGGTTTAGGGTTTAGGGTTTAGGGCTTAGGGTTTAGGGTTTAGGGTTGATGACATAAATCCTGCATTGTACCATCATTCCCATAGTTTAGGGTCCTTCAGGTAATGCAGGATTTATATCATCAACAGTAGTCATCTGAAAACCGCTAAGCCAACAGCACTACAGCAGTTTAAACAAGATTAAAGGCTCAGGGAATAGTAGAGGGGCTTAAATGCTTTCCAATACTATTCCCGGGTTCCTTAGATTTACTTGAAGTGTAAAATACCCCAAACCCCAAATCCTTATATTCCAACTCCTGAGGCCCCTTTCCCATCGAACCCTATTGTAAGGGTTTAGGCTTTAGGGTTTAGGGTTTAGGGTTTAGGGTTTAGGGTTTAGGGATCAGGAACCCTACTTTAATTAGCTTTTGCAGGAGCTGGCGGAGCTCAAGAACGAAGACGCCGGACTCAAGGAGGCACCGGCAAGCCCCGACAAAAGCCTTTAGCCTGTTAGGGTTTAAGGTTTAAGGGTTTAGGGCTTGAGGGTTTGGGGTGTTTGAGGGTTTGGGCTTCAAGGTTTTCGGGGGTTTAGGGTTTAGGCTTTAGGGTTCCGGGGGTTGAGGATTGTAGAGTTTAGGGCTCTACTAAAGCCTAAGCCCTAAGGCGTTGTTTGAGTAGGCCCCGTGCTCCAGGCAAAGGGCGCTCAGATAGCTGGATTCTAACCCTGAACCCTAAACCCTCAACAATCGTTTTCCCATTTAAAGAAGCAGCTCCGCAAGAAAACAAAGACCCCAAACATCCCACTGCAAACCCGAACGCCTAAAAGTCTTAAGCCCCAAAAAAGCCCTAGTAAAATCCCGAACCCTCAGAACCTTCGAAACCCTAAACCCTAAACCCTAAACCCCCCCAAGCTCTACAACCAGACCCTAAGCCTCCAAACCCTAAAGCCCCAAGCCCCAAAAC